TGGTGATGTCTCTGAACTTCCTTCATGCCAGCGGCAAGCATATACCACCAGACTGTCTGCGGAGGCCTCCGTCTGAGCTGCAAGCCACCGCGCTCAGCCGGCTGACGGAGCTTATCAAGGCGTGTGCCCGCCTGGGAGGCACGACTCTTCAGGCTGGGCGTCGGGGCCTTCAGCTTGCTGCGCGCCACGCTGAAGTGCTTCATTATCTTCGGGCTTCGGGCCTTGCTGTGGATTGCTACTTTGGAAAGGGCACCCTTGCTGAGAAGGTGCCAGAGTTTTCGGAGGGCCTGGTGCCCCATTTGCCGGGAGGTCCTGAGGAGCTTTCCCCTTACCGAGACCTCGATGCTGAGAGGATTGTCTTGTCTGGCACCGGCTCCTGGCCTCTTGCGGAGCACCTCGGCCCTGATCTGCTGATGCTCTACCTCGAGCCTCGGGCTTTGCGCTCCTTTGTGCCCTCGCCTGCTCCAGGACCTAGCTTTGAGCATGAGCGCAAGGATCAGGTACTGTCACTCTTCAAGAAGTGGGATTCCCTCGAGCTTTTGGGGCTGACTCCTGGGCCTTTGCCGACCGCCAGCCTCACTCGAATCTTCGGGGCTTTCAAGGATGGTGGCAAGGACCGCCAGATAGGAGACCGGAGGAACATGAACAACCAGGAGGCATGCGTTGGCAACGGCCCCTCCTCGAGACTTCCCTCCGGCTCCTTGCTGACCAGGCTTGTTTGCCCTCGGGGCTCGCACGCGTTGTTTGGGTCAATCGTTGACCGTCGCGACTTCTACCACCAAGCACTGGTGAGCTCGAGCCGGGCACGGTCGAATGCCATAGGGCCTGTTTTCTCCCTTCGGGATTTCTATGGGACCCAAGCCCTTGCTGATTACCTGGCCCAGGCTGATTCGGAGATCCGCCGTGCATCTGGGGCCCTCGCTGTCTTTCGCCCCTCTTCGGTGCTCACCTCTTCCCCTTGCAAGGTGCATGGGACGTTTAAGAGCTTGCTGCAGGGTGACCACGAGGGGTGGAGTTTGCCTGTGCGGGTCACGAAGGTTTGCTCAGGTCTTGGGGTGTGCTTGGAGACCCGCCTCAGGGTAGGCTGCTGAATCGTTGCCCCGTTTCCTGCTCGGGCCCCTGGTCGGGCTTGATCATAGATGACCTTTTCTGCCTGTCCTGTGAAGACACACCAGGGCTACTGGCTGGGAGGGGCACGGAGGTAGCCCAGAGCGAGCGGCTGCTGAGACAGGCCAAGGCCGCCTACACTTGCGAAGGTGTCCCAGGCTCCGACCACAAGGACCAGTTTGGCCAGCGTGTTTGCACGGTTGCAGGTGCGCAGGTTGACAGCTCCCCGGTTTGCCAGCTGCTCGGAGGCTCGCTCTTTCACAGGCCTCCTTGGTCGTCGCCTCGGGTCGTTGGATTTCAGAGGAGTTGGCTTCAATCCTAGCCGGTTCTTGGGTTACAGCCCTGCTTTATAGGAGGGCTCTGATGGCCGTCATTGGGCCTCTTTTCTCCCTTCAGAAGAAGAGGGAGGCCTGCCAGGAAGCGTCACGACTTAGACCTTAGCCTCCCTCTGCAAGGCAGGACCTGGTGTTGCTTGCTGCCCTGAGCCCCATCATGGTCACCAACGTGTCGGCTCCCTTCAGCTCTACGGTCTCCTGCTCGGACGCCTCTACGGCGCGAGGTGCTACTTGTGTTGCCCCTTTGCCTCCCCTGCTTTCGGCGCACCTTTGACAGTCAGCTGACCAAAAGGCGTGGTACACTAGGCTCTGCGACGAGAGGCCAGCGGTGCTAGAGGAGCTGCCTGCCTGCCCTGTGACCCGGCCTGTTGCCTGCAGGTACGACTTCCTCGAGGTACGTTGTGGTGGGCCCTGGCTTTCTGCCCCGCTCTCCGACAGGCTCTGTGTTGGGCCAGTGGTGGACTTTTCGGTCTCTCCCTTCTTCAGTTTGTGCGATTCCCGCTGCCTGGAGTGGATCCACTTCATGTTGCAGGAGGGCCGGCTCAAGTCCCTGCTTGTTGTGCCTCCGGTCGGCTCTTTCTCCCCTGCTTGGAAGCCCCGTGTTCGAGCCTGGGATCCCCCGGTCCTCCGTTATCGGTGCCCGCGCGCAAGGCGAGAGGATGCAATCCTGGGTGCGGCCGTCAGCACCCTCCTTGTGCAATGCTTTGGCCATGGTCCTTCACCCCTTGCAGAGTTTCGCCCGGGGCTCTGCGCCTTGGAGGCAGCTCTGCTTGCATCGTGGGGCCGTTGAGGCTACTCTGTGTGCTTGTGACGCTTTTTCCACAGGCCGCCGGCCGGCTGTTGTGCTTGTGGCTGCCCCTGGTGCCCGCACCCTCGCGCCCTTGATCTCCAGTATCACGGTGGAGCCTGGCTCTTCTTCCACCGAACAGCTTGCGACTATCTTGGCCGACCTTGTCAGGGGCTGCCCTGCTGCGCCCACCTCGAGCAAAGGCCTTGAGAGCCTCCTTTTCAACGACGTCATGCTTACCGCCCAGTGGCGTGTGTCTCGCTCCTGGCCTTGGAGGGACCGTGCTCACATTAATGTGCTTGAAGTGCGGGCTTTTCTTTGCGAGCTAAAGGACCGGGCTGCCTCTAACGATGATGCCCGCTTTGTACATGGGCTGGACTCCTACGTTGCCCTGGGTGCCCTCACCAAGGGGAGGACCTCCTCTCACAGACTCTTGCCTCTTCTGAAGCAGTCGGCCGCCATCCAGGCTGCTTACGGGCAGTACCCTGCTCTGCATTTCTGCCCCACGCACGAGGTTGAATGCTTCAGACGACCCAACGAGAGGGGTTGCACTCCGGCCCCCTGTTCCCGCCTCCATCGCCTCTGGTCTCCCAGCCTCCTGCCTTTACGAGGTTCCCTAGTTAGGTCCCTTTCCCTTAGGCCTAGACACCTGCTTCCCCCCACCTGTGGTGAGAGGCCACCGCCTGGCCCCAGCGTGCAGCACCAAGACTTTGACAGTACGCTTGGCTTCCCTGGAGAGGGGCCGGACACTGGTGGAGCTCTGTCGGGTACTGCCCCTAGCCTTGCTCCCAGAGACCGACGAGGCCAGGGCAAGAGCTAGGAGCGGTGCCCAGCTAGGCGTCGGCAGACCCGTCCTGGACAGAACTTCGCAGAACCGGCAAAGGCTCCTGGCGGCCTTTGGCACATGGCTGGCTGGCTTTGGTACAACGTTGGAAGGGCTCCTCGCAGCGCGCCCTCTTGATCCCGAGGTCAATGCCTCCTGGCTGGTGAAATACGGCCGTCAGCTCTACGAAGCAGGGAGGCCATACTGGCACTACTCGGAGACCATAAACGGGGTCGCGGCAATGAAGCCTTCTCTTCGGCGCTCCTTACAAGGAGCTTGGGACCTGGCCTTCAGCTGGATGGCAAAGGAGCCCAACACACACCACTTGGCGATGCCTCCTGTGATCCTTTTGTCGATGCTATGTACCTGCCTCTACTGGGGATGGCTTCGAGAGGCAGGCATCTTTGCCCTTAGCTGGGGCGGGCTCTTGCGAATAGGTGAGGCTACTTCTGCTCGGAGGTCCGACCTGATACTCCCTGCCGACGTGCTTTACTTGCAGCGCCATGCCCTTATAAGGATTGAAGAGCCCAAGACCAGGATGAGGATGGCGAGGCACCAGAGTGCAAAGGTGGAACAGAGTGACCTTGTCGAGCTCCTGCACCTGGCGTTTGCAGACCTGGAGCCTCCCAGCAGGCTGTGGGCTCAGTCGCCGCAGACACTGCGTCGTCGCTTCGACTTGGTGCTGGAGCGGATTGGTCTGCCTACTGCCCGAACGGGGCAGAAGCAGCTGGATCTTGGTTCTTTTAGGCCTGGAGGCGCGACTTTTATTTTGTCTCAGACAGAGGACAGCAAGCTTGTTCGGAGAAGGGGCCGGTGGGCTTCCCAACGGGTTATGGAGATCTACATCCAAGAAGTTCAAGCAACAGTTTATTTTCCTTCGCTCCCGGCCGAGCTGCGACAGAGGATCATGAACTTGGCACAGTGCTTTTCTTCGGTATTGGCACAGGCCGTTGCTTGGAAAAGGATGGGTGTCCCAACCTCTTCTTGGTTTGCAATGTTTTCTGCCGGCGAGCGGCCTAGCACTGGCCTATACTGGATGGGAGTCTTGGGAACAGTTTTCTTCGGCATGCCGTTGAGCCAGATGGTAAATTCCTGGCGGCCTCATGAGAGGCTTCACCTTCCGGCAGACCAGTGGAAAGCACCCATGGCGCAGAGGCAAAAGAGAGATGTGAGCTTCTGACCGATAGAAGCGAATGTTGATCGATGCCTTTGAACTCAAGTCTTTTAGCGCCCGGAACAGTTTTCTTCGGCATGCCGTTGAGCCAGATGGTAAATTCCTGGCGGCCTCATGAGAGGCTTCACCTTCCGGCAGACCAGTGGAAAATGGCGCAGAGGCAAAAGAGAGATGTGAGCTTCTATTTAGGTTCAGTCCTCACCTATAATTCCTCCGCAACAGCGGACGTTAAGAAGCGCTATGCGCAGGCAGCCCATGCGGCTAAGTGTCTGCATGATTTTTTCAAGCACCCGTCCGTCTCAGTACCTAGAAAACTACTAGTTCACTCCCAGATTGTGCTCGCAATTCTGTTGTACGGCTCTGAATCGCAGATGTATTCCCAGGCCCACCTCACTAAACTTAACAAACTACATTTCAAGATACTTCGCCAAATTTTCAACCTCAAGAGCTCGTTTTACCACAAAGTTCTTGAACCATCTACAACGGAATGCTCCAATGAGTATTTAGCCCAGCTCGCCTATGAGTATGCCCCGAAACTTCTCTCACCCTCCCAAAAAATAATTGCCTCACGCATTGAATATTTAGGTCACATCCTACGACACCATGATTCTATCGAACACCTTAGCACCTTCCAGACGGCGCACGCATATCGACGGGTACACAGAAAAAGACCAGGCCATCCTCGCCTCCATTGGTCGGAAGTCTCCATGACTGAAGCATATCAGAGATACTATATCCTTTCCACTAACTCTTCAGTACCCCGTCCCCACAATTTAGGTCATGATATTGACCATCACCCCACAGAGAGAGAGGTAGCCGACCTACATTCTAGATTCTTTGGAAACACAGATCTTTGGCGTACCCTTTGCCCAATAGCACAGGATAGAAAATCTTGGGCCGGTTTAGCTTTAGTTCGTTAAACAGCTGAAAGGGCTGCTGACGAGTGGTCTCACTTGTGGACTTGCTCTGCGCGACTGAGAGAGAGAGAGAGAGAGAGAGAGTGGGTCAATGTTCTGCAGCGGGAACGAACTGAAGAATGATGCACTGAAAGTCGGAATCCAGGTCCGAAACCTGGACCGGAACATCGACAACAAGGCTTTGTACGATACCTTCAGCCTCTTCGGCAACATCCTCTCCTGCAAGGCAGAAGAGAGCGCCCAACAGCCTTTAAAGGATGCTCCCAAATCCACACGGAGAGGGCTGATTACCGCCTCGCCTAAGACAGACCCTGCTCTAAGAGCGTGCGCTGCGCGCAGCGGGCTGCCTGGGAGGTTTGCACCGGGCCAGATGGTAAGTCCCGCGGATACGGTTTCGTCGGCGGCCGAGTTTTTCGGAGTTTGCACAGGTCTTTTTCTTGTTGCCTCTGTAGCACTCAAGGCTCTTAAGCTTGCAATAAAAAGATCAGAGCCTGAACACGAGAGCCTCGGAAGCAGAGGTGCATTACGAGACCGAAGAGGCGGCCAAACAGGCCCTGCAGGGCCTAGGGACCAGGGCCTGGGCTTTCAGACAAAGCGAGACGCCTGCGTGCCTTCTTTCAAAGAGCTGCAGTGGGTTTTGGATTGGATTTTTGATGCACTGAGTTCAGAAGACTTTCGGGAGGGCGGAGTCGTGATGCAACCGCCCGGATGTGGCAGGCCATTGAACGCGTCGACGGCATGCAAATCGGGGAAAAGACGGTCTGCGCCTCAGGATGCAGCTCCATGAGAAGAACCTCGGCGAGCGATGTGCCTGCAGGTTGGAGTGTCTGGCTTCGTGAAGCGCCAAGATCGCAGGGAACTCAGGGCATAAAAGTGATTACAAGTGGGTTGTGCAGCCGGCAGCGTGTCTATCACCGAAGGTGAGAAGCCAGCAATGAACACCTTCACCAATGCTGGGAGCCAAAACAACCGACATTGATAAGTTCTCTCCTTATTTCTGTCCGACTGAGATTTACATCAAGAACTTCCCTGACGACTGGGACGAGGACCTTGCTAACCTGAAGCATCTCTGAGAGAAGCTGGAGAGAAGTAGAAGTTTGTGCATCCTCACTGTTTGAATCTTTGCAGAAAGGTCTATCCAGAAGTGAGCAAGACTAATCTCGTGCTCCTTCAGGACAAGCTAAAGGCGGAGTTCGCACCTCACGGAAGTGCTGGCACCTCATTCGTTCAGCTCACGGAGCAAGGGGACTTAACATGTAAATCGAATAAAGATCTATTCATATATTCGTTATGTTATGTACATTGCTAGTTTGCGCTTGCATTCCTGACCCAGCGCTCAGATCACGTCCTCCCATGTGACGACCGACAACAAGGTGCAGAAACCTGCCAGAACGCTTTGAGAGCTCGGACCAATTCTGCCGGTCAGGGCCGGAAGTCTGCATTCATCAACTACGAGAGCCACGACCAGGCTGTTCAGGCGCTTCATTCATGGCTGTCTGACGCACGGTGTATGCACGGAGTACATGGAAGAAGGGACCGGCCAGGCTATCAATGCTATGCACCAGAAGGATTGCCGTACTGACGAGCAGAAGGAAGCAGACAAGGACCTGCTCTGCATTTGGCAGCTGCTTCTGACTTGCCATACTCATGCAAAGTTATGCTGCAAGACCTGTGCGCATGTGCTTCCAAACTTGAGAGCGTCCTGAAGGAAAAGGAAGACGAAGAGAAGGATCGCACCGAAAAGAGCAGCTCGCCTGCAACCGCGAGAACTCTCAATTTTTTCCTCCCTCAGAGCTGCCAGCGACGGCATCAGGCTACTTGCTCTATGTTGCTCGCGCGCAGTCCAAGTACGAGCGCCAAATGGAGCTCAAGGCCCTGGCCCGCTTCTGCAGGGGCCGTGGGGCATCTGCAGAGAGCAATTCATCTTCCGGAGGAGAAGATGCCGCCAAAGGACCCGGCGGCCGCACAGTCACGTTCACAGGGTGTCAACCTCTATATTAAAAACTTGGCCTCGACCTCAGAATGTCAGACTTAAAGGGGAAGAAGCCGTACACATGGACATTGGCGCCTTGACCGCTGAG